CGTGAAAAGCTGGAAGCACCTTTCCCCCAACCTTCCCTGCCAGCCCCTGATGTGGGGAGTGTGGAGAGCCCTAGGGGTTGCGAGGAGGCCCATGTAGCTGGAGAAGGGGGTGGCGGGGACAGCAGTGGGACTGAGCTCTGAGAGGCCACAAGGGTGGCAGTGTGAGGATTTGGCATCTGTGCCGAGTGACCTGTTGTGGGGACAGGGACACAGCGGGGCAAGGTGCCTGCTCATGTTCTGTGGGGAGGAACACAGCAGGCAAGGGAGCCAGCCAGGGTGTTGGGGGTGGGGGTGCTCAGGAGGGAACTATGGCAGGTGGAGAATGTGGCATGTCCAGGAGGGGCTGGGCGGCCACCAGGCTTTTGTGGAGTGGCATTTGGGCAAAGGCTGGAAGGCGAGAGTCGGGCTGGCAGGGAGAGCGACGCGTGCGAAGGTCCGGAGGTGGGCTCTGGTCTGGTCTCTGGAAACAGTGAGAACGCCAGGGTGTCACAGTGGGGCGTGAGAGGCAGGCAGGTGGCCCTGGGACAGCACACCGCTTTACTCCCCACCGAGGGGCCCTGAGCTGGGGTGTGACATGGAGTCAGGGGTCCACCTCGGGGGGCGTCGGGCTCCTTCCGGCCAAGGACACCTGAGTGACCGTCGCCGGCAGGCTCTGTAGAGACGTTTCTTCTCCAGTCTGTCCTTCCCACGGGACATTGTCCATCAGCGAGCCAGTGTCTGGGGGAACTTTTGGGGGCTTTCCAGGAGCTGCAGAAACCCTCGCAGCCCCTGTTAGTGGCTCAGGGACACATCTAGGTGGGGACAGGGGCTCCGGGCACCGCGTCCAGGTGGGGACAGGGGCTCCGGGCACCGTGTCTAGGTGAGGGTGGAGGCTCTGGGCACTGTGCTGTCCTGCCTTCCACCCACAGCTGCGTGGGGCTCTGTCTCTGGTTTGGGCCGTTGTTTAGAACCATCTTGGTGGGGGGCTTCCCTGGCCCTCTCAGCTGATGGGCCAGACCCCAGCTGGACTGCAGCTCCCATCCCCTTTTATTATAAAAAATAAAAGTGTATAAATATATATATATATATATATATTTTTTTTTTTGAGACAGAGTCTCTCTTTGTCACCCAGGCTGGAGTGCAGTGGCTGGATCTCAGCTCACTGCAAACTCTGCCTTCTGGGTTTATGCCATTCTCCTGCCTCAGCCTCCCGAGTAGCTGGGACTACAGGCGCCTGCCGCCGCGCCCGGCTAGTTTTTTGTATTTTTTAGTAGAGATGGAGTTTCACCGTGTTAGCCAGGATGGTCTCGATCTCCTGACCTCATGATCCACCCATCTTGGCCTCCCAAAGTGCTGGGATTACAGGTTTGAGCCACCGCGTCCTGCCAAAAGTATATTTTTAAACAGTTTATTTTTTCTATTTTTCCCCTTTTATTTAATTTTTTACAATTTTTGTGGCTGCATAGTAGGTGCATGCATTTGTGAACTGGGCTTTATTTGTTCATAACCCTTAGGACCACCTGACCCCGCAGTCACCATGCTTAGGACTGCTGACCCGTGTCCACACACACAGTTGGTGTATATGGATAAGGTCTGTCCCCTCCCCTGCAGAATGTGAGCTCCAAGAGAGCCGGTTTTGTTTTGCTGTTGTTTTGCGTTGCTGTAGCCTTCAGAATCCAGCAGGATGCCTGACACAAAACATAGTGCTTGTTAAATATTTGTTGAGTGAGTGAGTGAGTGAGCGAGTTCTCCTGGTGGAATGTGGCTGAAATCTCCTCATATCAGATTGAGGCAGGTGTTGGGATGTAGGAAATGGCCACTCCTGGAAGTCGAGGACCTCGGATGTCATTTGGGTGCTTCCGCCCCCTCCATGCCACACTCGGACCCTTCTCGTTTCATCCATCTGCCTTCATGCTCTGCCCCCACCCTTGGGGTGTTCTCGCATGAAGACTTGGCTGTCCTGTTCCGTGTCCACGCTTCTTGGCATCTAGTAGGTGCTCAATAAATGTCAGTCCGATGAACGAATATCTGGGAGAAGCAATGAATGAATAAATGGAGTAGAAATAGTCCTGTCTGCAGCTGGAAGCCCCACACGGAGGGCCTCATGCGGGTCTGCAGAGACTGGCCATCCTGAGGACCTCCGGGACCCTCATGAGGAAACCCGACCCCAGAGGAAAGCCACACTGCACCAACGTGGCAGCAGGGTTTGGGGAAGAGTTCCCAGAGCTTCTCAGGAGCCCGGGGAATTCCTGGCATCTCTCAGGGCTTTGTCGGTTTGTCCGTCTTGGTAGCTTGTCCCCGTCCTCCTAAGAACACCCTGCAATGTGTGCCGCTGGTTTGCACTCACAGTGAACTGGTGGCAGGCTGGGGGGAAGCTGAGGCTCTTGGAAAGACACCATTAGAAATGGCGAGGCCCAAATGGGCTGACGGCCCAGCGGGGCAGGGAGAGCCTTGTGCCAAGGTGGATCTCGGGAGGACTGTGCAGCGAATACCCAGGGCTCCCTCCTGGGAGGGCCAGGCCTGCCCGGGCTCAGAACTGGAGTGAACGTGGGAAGATACAAGCACGGTGTTTCCCTGGGACCCATCTGGCCCCAGCGTGAACCAGCGATGGCCACTGACCGCAGCGTCCGTGTTTCCTGGGGTTGGTTCATATTCTGGGGAATTCCATTTCCTCAGGATCCCGGGTTCTTGTGAGAGTTCCCATAGCAGCAGTGAAACCCCCAGATGTCTGTGGGGGTGCAGGGTCATTACAGCTTCCGAGTTCACTGGAAGCCTCTTCTGGAGACAGCAGAGAGGATGCCGAGGTTATTCAGCTGAAAAAGGTGGATGAACCGGCACGTGAGGCCTCCCGGCCTGAAACACGGGCCGGGAGGAGGACTTCACTTTTTAAACACAAACAAAATATCCCACCAACCACAGCGCTTTGCAGAATGAAAAGTGGAGGCCTTCCCCATCCTCAGTTAAAGTGATTCCGTTTCAAGGTATTTCCCAGAAGAAAGGAGCTTTCGGTGGCAGCAGGTAGGGCTACCTTTGTAATCGGCCTGTCTGCCTCTTCCCGCGGGGCCCCACACCCCTCCCCCAGAGCCTGGGTGCCCCCTGCCCTCACCGCCTGCCAGTCTCAGCAGGGACTCCCTCGCCTTCCCACTGCCAGGCTCCTCTTTCCAGCTTAGGCTGAGTCGGCAGCGGCCTCAGGAAACCACGCTAATCTTCTTTTGTGTCCGACCTCATGACTTGCGAAGGCTACAGGCCTTTAAGACTCCGAAACTAAATAAAAATGAGTAAAAGGTGGTAGGGCACGGTGGCTCATGCCTGTAATCCCAGCACTTTGGGAGGCCTAGGCAGGTGGATCCCCTGAGGTCAGGAGTTTGAGACCCTGAGGTCAGGAGCCTGACCAACATGGTGAAACCCCATCTGTACTAAAAATACAAAAATTAGCCAGGCATGGTGGTGGGCACCTGTAATCCCAGCTGGTAGGGAGGCTGAGGCACGAGAATAGCTTGAATCCAGGAGGCAGAGGCTACAGTGTGCCAAGATCCTGCCACTGCACTCCAGCCTGGGTGACAGAGCAAGACTCCATCTCAAAGAAATAAAAATAAAAAATAAATAAAAATGAGTAAAAGATTAAAAATCAATAGAATTGTAAAATAATAAATACATCAAAATAATGAATAAATGACCAACCAGTTCCAGCTCAGGAGGGAGGTTCCCCATGCCCCGCTGGGCCAGGCACCCGCTTGCTTCAGGACCTGGGTCATCTGTGTGGCCCTCGGATGTCGGGGGGGCAAGTCCGTGGGGCAGCGGCCATCGGGGGTGTGCACCCTCAGAAGGGGCAGCTCCCACTCCCTTCTCAGTCCTTTTCTGGAGGCATGCGTGGCCAACTCTTCCCATTTTTGAAATAATCTGGACTTTTATATAAAAGACCCAGATTTTAAAATGTTGACCACGAAGTCACCACACACACATACACACACACACACACACACAGGAATGAAAGGAAATGACAGTGAAATTGCAGCATTTTGTAGCTGGTTGTCCAAGCCCCCAGGAGTGGCTTGGGGGGCCCAGGAAATGTTTTCTGTGACTGTTCCCAGTGTGACTGCCCACCCGCTGTGGCCTTTTCTACCCAATGTCATTTCCCATGCAATGGTGACTCTGGGCCCGTGAGACCCGTCAGAGGGGAGGGACAGGCACACCGAGGGCGAGTAGGTGAGAGTCAAACCCTGGTACTGGGGATTTAGCGCTGTCCCTCCAAGCAGGACAGACAGATTGTCAGGAGGAGGGGACAGAGCCAGGAATACAGCTCCTCCTCTCTGCTCCAGAAAATGGGCCTGGCCGATGGGGGCCACCTTGCAACCTTTCCAGAGGGGGTAGGTGAAGGAATCTGGACTCCCGGGTCTGAGTGCTCTGGTTCACCGGAGTCGGCAGTCAGGACCAGAGCCTGAGGTTTGGAAGCACCCGGGAGGGTGTGGACTCTGGGTTTGCATTCCGAACGGGTGTCCACTTCCCAGGTGTGTGATGGCAAAGATGACTTCCTGTGCCTCAGTTTCCCTCTCTGTAGAATGAGGCTACTTACAGAACCTACCTCGTAGGCTTATGATGGGGATATATGACTTAAATGCAGATAAAACCTTGAACCAGTGCTGGGCACATAGGACAACATCAGTAAGCCTTTGCTGTTACATACAAAGGACCTGGGCAAAAAAGGCAGAGGAGGGAGATTAAGTTTTTCAAAACAAGCAAAAAGAGGAAAGTCACCTTTGCATGAGAACAGGGTTCTGCTCAAATGCTGGCTGCATTTGGAACCTGAGGAGGAGAAGTGGCAGGTGGAGGGTTTGTTCATGTCACGGCTCCCCCATCGGGAGGGCCGCCTCTGGAAGCACGGAGGTGGGTGCCCCGCGGGGTGGCGAAGGGCTGCTCTGGAGTGACTGGGCTGAGTCAGAGCCCACTCGGTACAGGGTATAGGATGCACGCCCGTGGGCACAGGCTGCCCTGCTCAGCCAGGCCTCTCTCTGTCCCCACAGCATATGCGAGAGGCGGCTGAACGGCGGCAGCAGCTGGAGTTGGAGCATGAGCAGGCCCTGGCTGTTCTCAGCGCCAAGCAGCAGGAAATTGACCTTCTGCAGAAGGTAAGTGGCAGGCAGCCGAGTGCGGCGTGTGAGGCAAGGAGTCTGCGGGTGGGCCGGGGACCCCCGGTGTGGTGGAACGGCCGACCTGCAGCCTCGGCTCCCAGGCCTCTTCCTCTCTCTCCTTGCACAGAAGGATTCAGAGTCATTTCTGCTTTCCTGCTCTGGTGTTTCTTAAGTAGACCTGTGTTCATATTTTATAAAGCAAAAGCGGATGCAAAGCTCTAACCTCTGATGCTGGTGAGGTTGTAGGGAAAAGCACATGCATAGAGATGGCTGGCAGGGTATGAATTGCTTTCACGTCTGGGAAAAGCAACGTGCAGCATCCGTTTAAACTAAAAGTGCACACAGAGGGTGACCCTGCCACCTCCATCCTGGACCTCCATCCTGGACGATGCCCTGCAAGGAATACAGGAACCAGTTCAAAAGGAGTTCTGTTTTCTTGCAGTGCTGCTGTGTGGCAGTGGGGATGGGGATTGGACCCAATTGATGCCCACCTAAGGGTGATGGCGTGTGCACCGTGGTCCAGCCACACCAGGCGCCATGTGATGTCAGTGAAAAGGATCATGGTGGTGTGATTCTGCTGTCTTGAGGCTGTTTGCATGACGTGTTATCAAGTGAGAAAACTGAATTGCAGAGCAGTATTTATAGCATGATCCCAGTAAGAAAGGAAAAAGGGAAGATAAGACAGAAAGGAAAAGAAATCAGGAGAGAAAGGAGAGAGGCACCAGGGAAGGAGGGAAGGAAGGACTGAGTGATTTGGGATTTTTACCTCCTGGGCACCTGTGATGGGTCTGGGGGCTGAGACAGGTAACCTCACCCCCACTCCAGTCCTCAGCCACGGTCCTGCTGTCTCTAGCCAAATAGCTAGGAGGGTGGTACTCCTGGAGCCTATGGGCTTGGGGTGCCCCCAGGAAGAAATCAGAAGGCGGGGACTTGTGAACAGTTCTCATCTCATTTCCTTCCGGAGCCCAGTGTCCCCACCCAGTCCTGCCCTCTCCTCCCGGCAGGGCAGCCACCCCTATGGCCAGAGTGCAGCTGGCTGGTCTGCAGCCTCCCGCCCGGCGCCAGCTGGGATGGGCCACTCCTCTGCCCTCTGTGGCCCCTCCACCCATCTGACAGCTTCTCCAGGCCTTGGATCTCAAAATAAAGGACTCACAGTCATTCACCCAGCCTGGGTGGCGACAGGAATCTGTCAGAGCAGTGTTTCTTCTCCAGAGTTTATTAGCAGAGCTTGTTGGAACAGGTAGATAAGTTCTGATGCCATTTCTCTAATCATTTAGCACGAGATCGTATTAAGGATAGATTTCATTAAGCCAGTGCTGATGGGACCTTCACAGCCCTTATTACCTGTCATAATAAGGTGGCAGGTACCCGGAGCAGCAATATTTCATTAGATGTTATCCGCAAGGGATATTGCCGGGACACAGGCAGGAATATTACTCTTATCTTCTCCTGCCATGTCTCAAGGACCTTTCCCGTGGCTGGGCGACGCCTGATGGTAGCTGCATTCATTCATCGCCACTCCAGAAGCCACGTCCCCAGGCGGGGACCGTCTGAGACAGATAATCAGTCTGTAGAAGCACAGAGACTGTCCAGGAAGGGACAGGATGTCTCCTTTCAACAGAACATTCTCTAGGAGCCTGGAGTTATATTTACTAAGCATTTGATGCCAAGGAGAATGACCTGGAACCGACTCCGTTATTCTGCGTCCGTGATCTCTTTTGTGTACTGTCCCATTCTCTTGGAGCTCTTTATCCTTGGGACTCACCGTTGTCTCTATTTTGGATACACTGATGCTTCATCAGTGGGGCGGGGGGCAGAGGGAGAGAAACTGGATGAAATATGAATGGGCCAATTTTGTAATTTCTAGAGGCTTTGATGTAGTTTTTAGCGTGAGAAGAGAAAGGCCAACTCTTGAGTGGAATGAGATCCGGGACTTCCTTCCGGAGTGCATCTTCGCGTTCAGTTTCCGCCGTGGGTGGTCATTGCGCTGCACTTGTGACCGGCTCCCTCGTGCTGTCATTCACCAAGTGTCGGCCGTCTGCCCCTCCAAGCAGCCACTCAGCTGCTGTTCCAGAAGCAGGAACACAGCCACGAGTGGGACACAGCTCTGCCCTCCCAGGCTAAAAAAGAAAGGTGAACAAGTCAATGAAAAAGTGAGTAAGCCCAGATGATGGCGAGGAGTGAAGGGAGTTGAGAGGATGGAGTGGCAGATTGATGGGGCCGTGACTTTAGATACAGGTGACAGTTCAAGGAGCAGATGACGCCCACCACGCCGAGGGCTGGGGCGGGAGTGTGCGGGGGTTAGGGAGCAGTGCACACACGGGTCCCCTTGGGAACCAGCCCAGAGTATCCAGGGAAGAGGAGGAAGGCCGGGTGGCTGGGGTGCAGCCAGGGACGGGACAGGGGTTGAATTTGGGCCTGAGGCACAGAGCTGGAGCGCTTGCCCCACCAGGCAGTGGTGCCTCCACCGTGAGGCATGGATCAGCTGAAGACTGGCCCTCATCTCCCTACCAAGATAAAAGTCACCAGTCGTCTTTGGACTATCCAAGGCCCAAAGATGATTCTGATGAGGGTGCCGTGGAGGCGTCTCAAAGAAGCAACCTCTTCTGTCTTTCTGCAACCCCAGCTCTTTCTTGAACCTGCTGTCACGGGACCCCACCCTCAGCAAGTGGCTTTTGTTAATGTCACCCATGTGTGGGCTTACAGTCCAGTGGGTAGTCCTCTGTCATTTTCTTTGACCCAGGGGCCCAGTTTGAGTTTATGGCCTCCAAGGACACCACCCTCTCCTGGTTTCCTTCTGCACACCAACCCCTCTACACATCACAGGTGACCCCAAGACTCAGTCCTCAAGCCGCATCCCTTTCAGTCTACACTCACTGTCTCATGCCCTCGAGTAGATGCGTGGGTTTCAGCACCACCTCTGCGTGGTAACTCCCGGATTTAGACCTGGAAGCCAGACGACGCCACTGCGCCCCAATTCCCTTATTCACTCTCTGCTTGACACCACTGCTTGGGTGGCCTCGGACGCCACGTCCCATGTGGAACTCCCCCCTGTCCTCACCAGCACCTACACTTCTGCTGAACTCCCTGAGCTCTGTAACCGCAGCATTTCCCGTTTCTGTACAGCTCTTCCTTTCCCTGGAGCTGATTGCCTTTTTTATTTACTTGTTGTCTTCCTTATCTGTGTACCCATCATTCCTTGGCTCCCCCGTTCCCTGCTGGAGCTGTAAAATTCCTCTCAGGAAAGTCTCAGTCCTCTGGGGAACTTCTGATTCCATTTTCCCCTTGGAGACACCTGCCTGGAGCCTCTTCCTTCAGTCCGGGTCCCGGAAATGCCCCTCCCCACCGTCTGGGGGTCTCCTCCCTGCCTCTTTGTGCTTTCATCCTCAGCTTCCTCGATCCTATAATGTTGTTTTTCTTGATGTGCAATGTGAGGCAGGAGTTTATTCTTCCTGAAATACTGGTGCATTTTGCCATATTTTGCAGTACTTGGAGATTCCTTTGTGGGATCAGCCTCACCTCCAGACCTGACCACCCCTGAGAAGGTGCTGGACATTCAGGCGTCTGATATCGGACCCACATCCCAGCACCTTGTCCAGGGGTACCTTTCTCCCAGGCAGCTCCACCTGTCCTCCTGCCCCGCATGGTGGTCGGGAGAAGCATGTGAGGTCATGTGAAAGGGAAAGCATTTGTTAAATCGGAGAAATAAATGCATGGGTGAATGATGAATGAGTGATGAAACTGCCCAGGGCTCTCCTCCCAGAAGCCAGAGATCCTGAGCTCACGCTGCAGCCCTCATCTCTGGGAGCTGAGCAGAGACACAGTTTAAAAAGGCAAAAGACAGCCAAGCCAGGACCCATGCTGTCTGCTGGCAACCACAGGCTCTCCCGGGAGACGTGTGCTTCCTGGAGACTGGGAGCAAGAGCTCATTCACAAATCCCCGCGTCCATTCACTTCATTCACTCAGCAGACGCTTACGGAGCGTCTCGTGTCAGCAAAGTCCCAGCAACACAGCAAGGAGTGGGGCGGTGTGAGAACAGGCTGTGAGTGGCCACGACGATGGTAGAAACGACTCTGAGCACAAATCTGCTGCTGCAGCGTGTCCGGACTGGGGCCCGGAGTGCAGGCGTGGCCTCCTTTGAGCCGAACCACCTCTGCTGCTCCCCACGCTGCAGCTGCTCCCTCCTCTCCCGGGACCGTGCTAAAGCCAGTTCCCTCTTGCGGACCCTCATCGACAATGCCTGGTCCCCGGGTTGTTGCAAAACTGGTTCATTTCTCTCATTGAGTCTCCCTCAGACCAGACGCCACTCCATGCCCAGACAGAGGGCACGTCGCCCCATTTACTGATGCCAAAACTTGCCTGCTTGCTCATGTGGCGGTTTGCCGACTGCCCACTTCCACCTGCTGGCACTTCAGCTCCGTGAAAGGTGCATCGGACGCATAGGACATCGCCTGACACCTAGGAGCTCCCAGCAAATCCTGGATGGACGGAGGTGCTCAACAGCACAGAAGGAATTGGAGATGTGGCAAGGTTCCGTCAGTCGGGGCAGTAGGGTCAAAATCCCATGGATAAGATGACCGACGATAAATTGGCATCAACACTCAGTTTTAGCCCGCGGAGTGAATCAATGAACAGTCAGCCCTCATGTAACCTGCGGGATGGAGGCACCATCATTTTCTCCATGTTACAGATATGGAGGCTGAGGCTAACGTGCCCTTGGTCCACTTGAGACCCGATCCCGAAACCCTGAAGCTTCCTCTCCAGGTGAACGGTCACGGTCAGCCTGGAGTCCAGCTGCGTTCCGTTGCTTCAGACTTTCAGTTTCTTGTGTAGGTTACGTCCTACACAAGAACGTCTTGTCCTGTGACAAGTGGCAATTACGATGATCCGGTGGTGTGAGCTAAAGGGCTTTTCCCTATTTATAATTCATCTGCAGACTTGACCGATTTTACTTCAGTCTACAGTTCCTCTTACCGGTAGGATGATCGCTTTCAGTCTTAAGGCCATTACTGAAACGTGTGATACTGAGAGAAGCTGAGCTTGCCACACGATGCATAGTTAATGCTTTGACTGAATTTGCTGTGCTGGCCTCAGTTGTGTGTGGATGGCTGGGGTGGGTCATAGCTGACCCTCTGTGTTAATTTCAGGCGGCGTCTGCCCCAGTCCTGTGTGCTCCTGGAGTATTAGAAAATGTCCATCAGCCCTCAGCTCTGCGGAACTCGTGATTTGAGGGTCCTTGCAGCCCTCGGCATAGTTCCGTGAGTTTCACTGACTTTTCTGCAGAGCTAATATAACACCCACGGAGGCCCCTCACTCTGCTCCATCTAAGCCAACGCCCATTGTCCCGCCACAGTCGCCAGGGGCCTGGACGGCTTATTGCTCTGTGCCGCATCCAACCCAGCTAGATGCCCAGCACTTCGGCCACGGGGAATGTGCCCTCCCTTCTGCGAGCGCCGTCTCCCTGGACGCTGCAGCTGCTGCTGCTGCTGCTGCAGGGCCTGCCCACCCTCTCGGATAGCGGATCCTCTGGGTAACAGGCCTGGTCCTCAGGCCTCTTCCTCCAGCGTCAGGAGCTCCAGTCTCCCTGCTCTGCAGGAACCACTCTCCATAAAGGTCGCACGTTCCCTGTGTTGGCCCCTAAACGAGCCTAGCTTAAGCTGTCGCTTGGATTTTGTAAGAACTCGGTGCTGCCAATTTTAAGTCTATTCTGATTGCCCAAATGGCCCAGCTTGCAAGTAGCCTGCAGAAATGCACTGGTTTTCATCTGAAGCTGGAAACGAAGTTGTGCTGCCAGCTTGGCTGAGTTTTACCAGCCTGCTGGAATTTTTTTTTTTTTTTTAAATCCTGCCAGTTTAAAACTATCTTTGATTCAACTGAGTCAATGGTGGCATCATTTATATAATCCCTGTATGTTCCCTGCTTGTTTGTCTCTTTTTCTGTTTTGTTATTTATTGTTGCTCTTGCTGGTTTTTGCTTTGAAAGGAACAGTTTTCGGCCTTCAGCGGTTGAGCTGAATTCGAGAATGGTGTAATTAACGTGCTGCGTTCCAGTCCCTTGCCCAGCTCTTGAAACTCTCATTGGGAAGATGTGAGAATGGAACGCACATGAATGAACTCTATGGAAACCTCAGACGACTTCTCATTTTTAGCCTGGGGAATGGCAGACTTCCCCTTGGCTGGGGAAGCCAGCTCTTCCCTCTTTTCAGCCCACGGGATTTTGCGAGTGAGAAGTAGAAGCTGTGAAGATAATGTTCACTTGCTTATTTATGATGTTGAATCGTCCATCACTAATTATTCTCCAGGCACAGAGGAAATATTTCTCTAGAAACCGATAATTCCAAAGTAAGTCGCAGAGTAGCATATGGATTCTTTATTCGTGCTCCATGTTTTAAGAGGTGGCTGCACTCTGGTGTCAGAAAATCATGCGTCTTAAAAATCCCCGTTTTCCTGCTCCGTGGGGAACGTTTGGGAGACGCTGGCGCCGGCGTGAGGTGCACGGTGTGGACTGTGCTGCAGGCGGGAGCCCGGTTTGTCTTCTCCTCGGTCTCGTCACAGCCTCAGGAATCCGACCTCCGGCGTCCCACACGTCAGGAAGTGTCCCTTGCTTTCACAGCTGAGGATGATGTTCATCAGCACCCTTGGTTTCGAGTGACAGAAAACCCAGACAGGAAATTGTATTTGTACCCATCCCTGAAAATTTGACTTCGGATATGGCTGGACCCAGGGCTCAAGTCTACGGGCCTCAGACTCAGCAGAATCCAAGGCCTCCCTGATATCACCAGGACTGGGCTGCTCTCTGCCCTCCTCTGGATCAGCTTCAGCCTTGGTTTCCCTGTGGAGGTCCCCGGCCAGTCCAGCCCTGACCCTCCTGGTGGCAAAGTGGCTACAGCAGCTCCAGTCTCACCTCCTCCCAAGCCAAAGTCCAGTAGAAAGGAACCTCCCGCTCCTGCAGCATTCTCAGGCAGAGGCCCATTGCCCTCCGTAGGCCCCATGCCACCCAGGTCACCAGTCGCTGAGGGCCCAGAACCGTGCTTAGCACAGGGGAGGGCCAGACCCCAGCCAGTCCAAAGGCTCATCCCAGGAGAGGAGGACATTGAAGCCAGGCAGGCAAACACGACAGATCCTTACCGTCATGATGCTGCTGGGACTTCCAGGCCTGTGAGGACAAGAAATAACAGTGTTCCATTTCAGCTGTGTTTGAATCTGCCCTTTGCCCGGGCAGCAGCCATCCCAAGACATTTCTGTAGCGAAATGTGTGAAGTTACTTATTCTGTGGGATCCGGATGGCTTTGCCACGAGTGCTTTGAAGAGGGCGGCCCTGCCACAGGCTGCAGGTGCCAAGACCTGTTGCGTGCTCAGGACCCAGCCCCAGCCCCTCCTCCAGGGCCTGGGGAGGTCTCAGGGAACCTAGAGCTGATTGGGGGTCAAGTCTGCAGGATTAGGTTTTGTTTCCAAAGCAGTTCATTGGACGTCTGGGCAGATGAAGGTGCTATCAGAGGCACTGGAGGGATACTTCTGCTACTCAGTTTACCACCTGGGGAAAGAAATAATCTGTGCACCAGACCCCCCGGACGTGCAATTTATCTGTATAACAAACCTGCACATGTATTTCTGAAACTCAATTAAAGTTAAAATAAATAACGAATAGGAATAATTTTAATTCCTCTATTAGAGGAATAAAAATGAATGACCCCTCACCCCCAGTGATTCAGACATTGATCCGATTATCTTCTTTCTCGTTTGGACATTTACTCTTTTCTCTCTTTTCCTCAAAAAAGGCTCAGGTTGAGGCTAAGAAGGAGCATGAAGGCGCAGTGCGGCTGCTAGAGGTAAGGAGCGTGCCCCTGCTTTCTGCCCGGGGGTGGGGGACACTGGGGAGAGTTGCGTTGATACCTGCTAGAAATAATAGATGATGTTTATGAAGTGAGCCTGGTGCACCAGTTACTAGATGCTGTTCATGCATCTTCTCATGTCGGCCTCACAAGCAACCAGTACGACAGGTGCCAGGTCGATGTCCGTTCTTACAGGGAAACTGAGGCACAGAGAGGTTAAGAAGCTTTCCCTTGACCACACATACAGACCCAGAATTGTGTGTCTCAGACGTGGTCTGCTGTCCTCTGCTGGTTCTTCTTGGGCGGAAAGCAAGGGGGCATGGCTCACTCGCTTGCTTGCGAATTGATTTCCCCAGGGGGAAAGGTGGGTGGACCCTCCGGAGGCTGCCCTGGCCCCTGATGAACTGCCCTGGGGTACCATTTTTAGGTATGCCACTCATGCTGGGGAGGCATTTGTAGGATCAGAGTAAGGAGGGCCTGGGGAATCAGAGTCCTCAGCGCCATCCGAGGCACTTCCCCGGGTGTGGTCCTCGCAAACGCTGCGTGAGTGACCTTCTCCTGCCTCCCAGAGATGTTTCCCACTGGCCTTGGGAAGGAAACGACCACTGTGTCCCACCTGCATGAGTGGCATGTTGGGAGTGCCCACCCCTGTCCCTGGCTCCTGGTCCAGTGCCAGCCTCCTTGGGACTGAGTAGCCAGGCAGACGGGGAGGGCTGTGGGGTCCCCTGAGGCCTCTGCTGTCTGCATCCGTCATGCACAGTGGATGCGCTATGGTGAGCTGGGGCCCCCACCTGCTGAAGTCATGGATGGTGTAATTTACCACCCCACAAGGAGAGATTTACGTAGGAGTGGATCTGCCCAGCGGTGGCCTCCTCCGGGTAATGTTCCCTTAAGAGAGGCCACGGTTTCCCAGTATTGGATGAGGCTGCCCTCTTCGGAATGACCTTGTCCCTTGTCCCTGGGGGAGCAGCAACCACTGAAAACACGCTATGTGCATCTCTTACGTTGCCTTTTAAAGTCTATTCCTCCCACAGGAAAAGGTTTCATCATTATCATCCTATATATTAAAATGGATTTTCTGAAAGCCTCCATTAGTTAATAACTATCTGGAGGGAGGAGTGGGATGAATAGCAAATAGGAAAATATATAACCTGGGAGAACAGAAACAGACCTCCAAATGGCCATTTATCTCCCTGGAAAATAATTCACTTTCCCTGGCCTGAGTTATCCACTGCACTTTAATCTGCATCATCTCCTAGCAGAAAAGGTAGTTCCCTCTCCCCAGTTGCCCCGGAGCCCATTGACGTGACCCTGTGTGGCTTCAATCCGCCTCTGAGGGACCGGTCCTCCACGATCCCGCCGTCACCTGTCACCCCGTGCTGCTGGTGGTGCATGCTTTCAAACATGGTGACGGTCGCAACGCAGTGTGCTTTGGTTCGAAAAACAGAGAAGGCAATTCAGATGTGCTGGGAATTGTGTCGTCTTTTATTTACGGCGTCTTTCTGTAACTGTCTTGCTTTGCTCTTCGCGCAGAACACCTTGGACAGCATGCAGGTATTCTAGAGAATAGCATCTTCCCCGCCCGGCGTGCTTGGCGATGCTTTTCCCGTGAGTGGACGCGGCCATGAGTCCTGGGCCTGCTCTGACCTGCCTCTGCTTCCTGAACTGCAGCTTCTGACGCAGGTGGGGGGTGGTTGGGGTTCCTCAGCCTGGGGGAGCCGAGGAGCTGCTTCAAGGAGCTCCACGAGCAGGGCCTCCCCCTCATCCGGGCGTCAAATGCAATGCGTTGCTCGCTGAGGTGCCACGCAGGCCCAGACACATGGCTCTTCCCGTCCCGCCAAGGCTGTGACTCTCAGGCTGGCACAGCGGTCCTGGGGTTCAGATGACCACAGGAGAGAGAAATTGTGGGTTGATTCTACCCTTGGGCCAGAGTTGTTGAGAGAGCCTAGCAGATAACCCTGAATTCTGTTAATTCAGTTACTGGTCATCAGAATTCACGCTGCACACCTGAGCATCACACCCTTCCGTTCTGCCTCTGCGTTGTGCAGCCAGCAAGCTCCTTCCCACGGGCCAGGGAGGCTGCCTGTGCTCCTCTCTGTCACAGACCACCCCCTTGCTATTCCCCTTGGGGTGGAGGAGAGGCTGGGTTGCCCCCTGACCCCGGACAGGCCTTTGAAAGTTTTCCACGCCTCTGAGTTGGACGGTGAGTTCGTGGAAGGAATGGCCTTTCCCACTGCTGGACAAGTGGTTCTCTAAGTGGGTTCCCTGGGGCAGCAGCAGCACCCGGGAGCTCGTGAGCAAAGCAGCTTCTCAGGCCCGGCCTCGCACCTGCTGAATCTGAACTCCTCAGGGAGGGGCCCCAAGGTTGACTGTAATCACCCTTCCAGATGTTTCTCATGCCGCCGAGGTCTGAGAAGCATTGTTGAGGGAGTCTGTGAGGCCGGCTACTGGGAGGCAGAGAGCAATTTCAGCAGTGCGTTCCCTGAGAAGCCTTGGCCTTTGCAGGGTCCACCTTGGGAACCTGATCCCAACACTGCAGCTGTTGACCGAGAAACCATGGCCGTCAAGTCCCGCCCACTCACCCATCAAAGAACCACCTGTGGTGTGCAGTGGGGGGTTCACGTCTAGGTGTTTGTGTCCTTGGAGAATGGGGCATGTTGGTGACTTTCTGTAGACAGAACATTCCACTGGGCAGAGCAACCTGCTTCCACGCTCAGCCAGATACAACAGAGAGCGCCTAGATAAGATACGCTCCAGAACACGTTACATAAAACCCCTGAGCACACGGTGACCCAAAGGCGTCTGAGATGAGTTCCAATCGGTTCAGGACGCACCTGTGACCCAGCCTCGGGAGGTCTCGATGACATGTGGCCAAGGTCGTCTGGGCTCAGCTTTGCTTTTATACATTTTAGAGAGACATGAGCCATCAGTATGGGTAAGGTGTCCATTGGTTTGGTCGGCAAAGGTGAGACCATTTGAAGTGGAGGCTTCTGGGTCATAGCGTAACTGCCTAGTGGGTTCACCTTGCCCGTTGCCTAGATACAGCCAATTTATCAACATGGGTATTGCAATAGAGAAAGAGTAATTCATACAGAGCTGGCCGTGTGGGAAACCAGAGTTTTATGACTACTCAATCAGTCTTCCTGAAAATCTGGAGACTGGAGGTTTTAAGGATAATTTGGTGGCGAGGGGGCAGGGAGTTGAGCGTGCTGATTGGTTGGGTTGGAGGTGAAATCACAGGGAGTCGAAGCTGTCCTCTTGCACTGAGTCATTTCCTGGGTGGGGGCCACAAGACCAGATGATCAGACCAGATCCATAGAGGGCGGGGCTGCAAAATCTCTCAAGACCTGATCTTAGGTTTTACAATAGTGAGGTTGTCTCTAGGAGCAATCTGGGGAGGGTCAGAATCCTGCGGCCTCTGCATGACTCTTAAACAATAGTTTATAGTCTTGTGGCCAATTTGTTAGTCCTGCGAAGGCAGTCTTATTTCCAGGCAGGGAAGGAGGCTTGTTTTGGGAAAGGGCTGTTATCTTCTTTGTTTCAAAGCTAAACTAGACACTAAGCTCCTCACAGAGTTCATTCAGCCTACACCCAGGAGTGAACAAGGACAGCTTGGAGGTTAGAAGCAGGAGGGAGTTAGGTCAGATCTCTTTCACTGTCTCAGTTATAACTTTGCAATGGTGGTTTCAATAGGTAGAGAAGAGACAACGGGTTGCATTCTTTTGAGTCTCTGATGAGGCCTTCACTGAATACACAATTTCCATGTGAGAAGGAGGCAGAGGAATAATCATTTACGCCTTAGTCTGGCTCAGTGAGTCTGCATTTTTGCATAAATAATAGGGCAGAAGAAACAGCCAGATACACATTTGTCTCGGGCGAGCAGAGGGTTAGGAGCTGAGTTCTTTTGTCCCGCCCCTGTGGAGATAAATGATCAATTTACATTGCCTGGGTGAAATTCAACAGAACTGTTTTAGGGGAAAGATCTGGAGGCCCACAAGGGATCTCTTTGTACGCAAATTGTGAGGGAGCTTTGTAGCTTTTTAATCTTTGCAGCTATCTTATTTAGAAATAAAATGAAAGGCAGGTTTGCTGACACAGTTCCCAGCTTGGTGCTTCCCTTTGGCTTCATGATTGTGGGGTCCTGAGATTTATTTTCCTTTCATGGTACCCGTAGACACAACTCCAGTGCCAGGGACACTTCTAGGCCTTGTTCTCTAAAGAATGAATGGCTAGGAGGTTTTGGTGGCAGTGGGGAAGTGTCTTTTTTCTTGGTCGCGCTGCGTGAAGTCCTGAGGCCCAAGGAGTACCCTGGGCTGGTTTTGGGGTTTAGCAAAGATGTGCATCAGGATTTAAACATAGAACAGAGGTTTTCAGGAACTTGCCTGTCAAGACAGCTCTTTTTGTAAACCCAAGAACCTGAGAGCAGGGAGATTCCAGCTACTAGGAGTTACGTAATTTCTTTGGCACTTAGAGTCGAATCAAAACAGAGAAGCAAAAGAAAACACTGAGAGCAGCACCACCACCTCGAACAGGTGCCCTGTGCTGGGCCCTGTCCTGAGAGTGTGTCGGAGACACATTGAGACATCTACAAGATAATGCCCATTTTGCTTGATCTTCTTCATGTCTGGGGGAAACCAAGGCACAGACAGGTTAATGAATGACCTGCCCGAGGGTCTCAGACAGTCATGAGCAGAATCCCATTCAAGCCCCAGGAGTCTGGCTCCGGAATCCAGGCCTTCGATGGGCTTCTGTACAGCACAGCCTCTCATCAGCTCGACTCTGACCTCCCTGTGGATGCTGGGTGGGGGCAGAGGGGACGGCGGCCCTGGTCCTGCCTGTAGGCTGAATCGTAAGTCAGTGCTGGCAGCTCCAGACTGAGGGAGCACCAGCCATGCCGCCTTCACCCGCTGATTTTTTTCCCTGGGTGTTCAGCAGTAGCAAGGGGTAGGAATTCAGGAAGTCGCTTTACCCCAGGCCGTTGAGAGGTACAGTCATATTTAACCCCTGAAACCGCTGCCTGAGGTTCTCTGTCACCTCATTTTGCTGATTAGGCAATGGGCACAGAGACAATGAGCCCCTTACCCGAGGACACACAGCTCCCAAGTGCCAGGGCCAGGCCCTGAAGGCAGGAAGTCAGCCTGGTAACAGCCTCTCAGGTGCTTTGAGGAAAGTCTAGGGGCTGGCATGCTTGTCACCATGTGGCTGGGCTGAGAGATGGGGATCTGGGCTTCCTGGTCAGGGGAACATTGTGAGGAGCCGGCGCCAGTGCTGTGTGTTTGGCGTGTGCTGTCATGCGTGTCCGTGTGAAGAGACCACCAAACAGGCTTTGTGTGAGCAATAAAGCTTTTAGTCACCTGGGTGCAGGTGGGCCGAGTCCGAAAAAAGAGTCAGCGAAGGGAGATAAGGGTGGGGCTATTTTATAGGATTTGGGGAGGTAAAGGAAAATTCCAGTCAAAGGGGGCTTGTTCTATGGCGGGCAGGAGTGGGGGTCACAAGGTGCTCAGTGGGGGAGCTTTTTGAGCCAGGATGACCCAGGAAGAGGAATTTCACAAGATAATGTCATCACTTAAGGCAGGGACCGGCCATTTTCACTTCTTTTGTGGTGGAATGTCATCGGTTAAGGCGGGGCAGGGCATTTTCACTTTTGTGATTCTTCAGTTACTTCAGGCCATCTGGGCGTGTATATATACACGTGCAAGTCCCAGGGGATGCGATGGCTTGGCTTGGGCTCAGAGGCCTGACATGTGCGTGTCGGCAGCTCTGTGGTGATTCTTCAGGGCACCCTCGTGGGAGTCCCTCTCCTCTCCACAGTGCCTTGGGTATCTCCTCCTGGAGTGAGGCATCGAACCACAGATGACGTCAGCCCTGGTTCGTCTTGGCCTCAGAGGAGCCCGGCTATTTTTCCTGAGCAGACCTCTTTCCTCCCTGGGAGACTTCCAGGGTGGCCAGCGTGCTTGCTTCCCGAACAGACTGGGGTCCACCTCCCCACAGGGGTCTGGCCTCAGGCCCGCAGTGGACGATTGTGGGCTGTGGGCCTTTGCCTTTAGGGGTCATCCCTTCCTCCATAAAATAATCCTCACAGTTGTATTTTGCATCTAGGGTGGAATAAAGATGAGTATTACCCAGGTGGGATGCATTATGTATTTACCACCCTTTTTCACTTCTTTTCCGATTTTAAAGGAAACTAAAGTGGAACCATGTCTGTGGGCCCCTGAAGGTAAAGGGCTGTGGTCCCAGGTGCTGGGCCTGCTCGACCTGCTCGGCCTGCAGGGAACCAGCCCTGCCTGGCTCTTGTTCAGAGGCTGGGTGACCCCTGGGCCAGTGAGTGTGTTGGGGGGGATGTGTGGGTGAGTGAGGGTGCAGGCTTGGGCTCAGGTGGGCCCTGGGCAGAGAGACTCAGAGACAGCAGCTGGAGAGACCTGGGTAGGTCCTGCTGCCCACTAGGGGTGTGACCGCGAGTTCCTCTTGGCCTCGTCTTCTGCCCTGGTGCAATGGCCTAACACCGACTTACCCGGTAGGTCTCTCTGAGTCACCAGTAATGCATGACTCCCCCA